ATAGAAAGATTTTTCAATGGAGTATATCGATTGAGACCTCCTCTTCCGAAGTATAACGCTACATGAGATACCAATGCTGTTTTAGATCATTTAAGCACATTGTGGCCTAATGAAGAATTATCATTAGATAAATTAACAAAGAGAACCATTACCTTAATAGCAATAACGATAGCTCATAGAATACAAACTCTATCCAAAATTGATATAAAAAATATAGAATTTTTCAATGACCATATAGTAATTAAAATTCCTGACTTCCTTAAAACGTCACGAAGAGGTTCTAAGCAACCGATTATTGTTCTTCCTTTCTTCTTAGAAAACTCTGCTATCAGTCCAGCAAAAACTTCAGATTGCCATTTAAATAGAACAATTCTTCTAAGGAATTCTGATAATCTTTTTAGTGGTGTCTGTCGACCTCACAAAGCGGTAGACAAACTATTAGCCGATGGGTGAAACTGACATTAGACGAATGTGGACTGGACGTACATATTTGTACTCTTTGCGCACAGCACGCGACATGCCGCCGCGTCCCGGGCACGCTCTCTAGGTGTCAGTGTAGATACAATACTTAAATGGAGCTGCTTCGGCTGGAATGCCAACTCCACTGCTTTCGCCAAATTTTACAGTAGGCCTATGATTAATACAGATAATTCGTCTTTTGCTAAGCCGATAATTAATAATAATCAAAAATAATTTTATGTTTATCGAATTGTGTGATGATTAAAAAAGATTATGTACTATTATAGATTAATAGTAGAATAACATAATGTCGATTAATTTTTAGTTCTATTTGTTCACTTTGTAATCCAATAAAACATACAATCATAAGTGTTTTCATTGATAATATTTTTTGGTTGGAACTCTCAAAGTCTACATGTTGTTTATATTCTACGAATAATAATCTCGAGGACGAAGCGCGAAGTATAATTAGTGATTAAACGAACTTACCCAAGTGAAGTTCTATCACAATTATACGAAGCGCTTCGTCCGAAGAGATTAGTACGTACTCCCTCCCAACCCAGTTTAATTATACCCATCAGAACTGTACCAAAAAATATTTCAATGGTCAAACATAAGTTTTAAATAATTTTTAACTCTGAACTTAATGAACAGGAAATGAAATGAACGGGCTAAGTAGACTATGTACCTACCGGGGAATAAAAAGAAAAAGGAAAAAGGGGGAATCCCTCTCTCAACAATAGTGCAGGGGCGGTGTCACTTGTGCGTTACTACATGTTGTTTATATTCTACGAATAATAATCTCTTCGGACGAAGCGCTTCGTATAATTGTGATAGAACTTCACTTGGGTAAGTTCGTTTAATCACTAAATATTATAGATTTGTCCTAAATAATATTTGTCATTTGGCAAACAATGACCTCTGCTAATTTTCATAAAATGTATTATTAGTAGGTATATTTTTAACGAGAGATATGCTCTTGAAAAAGGACTGTATATTTTACGAAATAATAAGACGGTCGCTGCTAGTGGTAGAGAAAAATATAATAACTGATTGGTGGCATTGTCAGATATCGAAAAACAAAATAAAAAATATAAAATTTAAAAATATACTCTAAAAAGGTGCGTTCTGCACACATATATATAGAAACAATATTTATTTAATTAAATAACTTTATTGACCAAAGAAAAATATGGTACAAAAGGCTGACTTAATACCAGTAACATTCTCTACCAGTCAACCTTTGGGATGAACAGTAAAACACGAACATGGTACTTTTTATTACGATAGAAAAAGATACCATAGTATTCTATATGCAGAATCCTTAAACTCTCTTTATTTAAACAAATTACTAAACACATGCATTACTGTCGATATTAACTATCAAAGTCCATGTTATTCATATATCAAGCCTATCATTTTACCATACTCTAATTGCCTTCGAATGTCGAAAGTTTCTAAGGAGCATTTTTTATACGTGACTGTGACGTGTCTTACTAGATTGCTTTATTTGTTCTCCGTAACATAAGACTTGATATCATTTACAAAAAATCCAAACATATGTTTAACATGTGTTTTTATAAACCCTTATGCTCAGTTCGAAATGCAATATCAACTAAAGAACAAGCAAGAAATTCAGGTGTTACTTTGTTTAATAAAAAAAATTACTATGTCTAGAGAAGTTCAATTTAATTCAATTCAATTATTTATTGCTATTTCATGTTGTAACAATATAGGTCTTAAGTTATTAAAAGTAAAGAATCGACATGAACCCTGGAAGGGCGCAGCGATCACATTAATAAATATTTCATAAAGTACATAACTACATTTTTACATTATACATATGTATAGTTGATTAACATAAATAAAACATTATTACATTGAAACAAATAGGTACAAATACAATTAAATTTTCTCATTGAAAAATTCCTGTAGTGTATAATGGGTGATTCTCTGTAAACTCGTAATCGGCTGTCCCGACTGTTTTTTTCAAAAAGTAATATAATTACTTTCATAAAAATCATTTCTAATAAAACTTTAACCCCAAAAATTTACGGGCCCATTGTTTTTAGAACCATAACTATTTTAATTTTTTTTCTAGAAGTGATTGAAGCTCTAAAAATACAGTCCCCTAGCTGTCCCCATCACTGTATTCCCGCCTAGAAACGAGATTTATGAAGAAGGTATTGAAACTACATACATTTGGCAGTTAATATAATAAGAAAAAATATATAATAAATATTATTTTCGTAAAACAAGGTCTCATTACGAATTCTATTATATTAGTAAACACTTGTAAACTTTGTCCCTAGAATTTCCATACAGTCCCCTGCCAAAAATTTTAATCCATATTAAAAAAAAAACTATAATATTTACAAAAGTTTTTTAGAGAGAAACGAAACGCAATTATTGTTAAATTGGCAACCTTGCCGAAAGTGGCAATGAGACACCATTTTGTTTAGCGTCAGAGCTTCATTTGTAAGGTGAATACGCGTTTGGTCCGCTACCACACACAGTCCTCTGGTAAGTAATATTATTTATATGTTAATTACTTTAATAATCGCTATATAGTTTATTGTTTTATTATTTATGTCTAAATTGATAGGCAGGTTCTTAAAAAACTATTTTACATCAGTTTTGTAAATATTGTGAAATCTAACCTAAATACACAGTCCCCTGGCAACAGTCCCCAGCCTGAAAATGCAGCAGGGGACTGTTTTAAACAACAGGGGACTGTGTATTTTGCATATTGGTTATTGTTTTTTATATTGTTGGTGTAAATTTATCCGCTAAGTATCATTGCTTTGCATTATTTTCCTTTATAAACTAATTTTATACAGGTCGATCAAACATACATGATATTTTGTTCTTAGGAACAAAGAAAAAAAAAATTCCCGAGGGGAACTACTATAAAAAAAGAAAGAAGCAGAGCGACTACGATACAAAAGAAGAAAAAAATATTCTGAAAAGAGATAACAAATAAGAGAAAAGGAGAAGTTGAAGTACCAAAAGAAGAAAGAAAAAGGTTTGTGAAAATTAGTAATGGTCATCTCGTGAGTACAGAGCTGCCTTAAAGAAGTGGAATGAATATTGTACTATATACCGAGCCTAAAAACTAAGACTGAAAAGCGTCACTAATAATTTTGTACGAGGAAATAACCGTTATAAGATCCAGAAGCAGATACTTTGTCTACAAGACCCGCCACTCTAGTTCAAGTTCAAATATCAAGCTCCAAGCCCAGCAGTTTCCAGTACTAGTCTACAACAAAGAAGAAAAGAAGTCTTAGAACAACAAAAGAAGTTTAACAGAGAAATAAATAAATAAATCGCACGTTTAGAAAAAAAAAACTTGTGAAGTACAAAAAAGATTAGCGAGATTTAGTAGTAAATACAAAAAGATCGTTGAAGGTACACCTAAGACAAAAATTTTGAAAATGTTAGCGGAGCCTGGTCAACATTGTTTGACGACGTCATTAGCAAGCAGTTGAAAAAAAATTATTTCACACTGTAACGTACCAAAGAGAGACAAATCTTAAAAAAAATTGTTACTCCAGAATTGTACAAAAGTACAGGTACTAGATAGCTAATGAAATAAAGTCGATGTCTAGACCTGGAAAAAAATCTAATCTCAATGGTTTAGATGTACCTGTAGCTAAACGATGTAAAATACCTGATAAAAACAAACTGATGACAGAAAGGATATAAAATGTGGATTTCTGAAATTCAAGATTTTAAGACTAAATGGAACCGACTGGTGACTAAATATTTGAAAAAAACATTTGGATGTCCAAGACAGCTCATAACACATTTACAGACAGATTTACACAAATTTTTGGATCACCAGCGAAATATTGTTCACCGATATAAAACAATGAATAATTTAAAGTCAAATCTACAAGATGATGAAGTTCTGATCCACGTAGATTTTAGCGAGAATTATAGCACTAAATACGCAAAAGAGATACAGAACTTTCATTTCGATGGATCTCGAGCACAATTGAGCCTGCATACCTTAGTGGTTTACCTACGAAATTCCATTCTTTCTTTTTGCACAGTCTCCGAGAACATAGCCCATTCATCTGCTGCTCTTTGGACACATCTACCACCAATTTTCAATACTCTTCCATGTGGCATCGAACGAGGGCGTTTCTTGAGCGATGGCCCTGTAACAGTCCCCTGATACCTCATACAGTCCCCTGTCATGATTTTTTGAAAAATCGTTAATAACTCAGAAAATACGTATAAATTCAGTGGGCCTCCTTATCTAACTAAAATAATAGTTAATTTTCTTCGAAATACGACACGGTTTTTTGGCAAATGGCAAAAATAATTGTCAGGACAGCATTTGTATGGGACCTGTACGAGCTTACAGAGAAATACCCTAATAACTTTTTTAAATTAAATATTTTTTAGAGCTATTTTAAACTTTTCGAATCATCCTCACTTTTTAAGTTCATTGGTTTATTTTATTGACATTGCGTAAGGGCCTGAATGGAATAATTGTAGCTTTTAATTAACTCGACGACTTTATTACTCTTCAGGTTTACGCGAATACGCGATAACCAGCGCGTTGAAGGACTCACGCTTCGCCCCGATAACCAGGGAGGAGGTGCCCCGGCTGACGGTGTCGGTGTCCATCTTGCAGCACTTCGAGGAGGCCGAGCACTACCTCGATTGGAAGCTGGGCAAGCACGGAATACGTATAGAGTTTATAAGTGAACGCGGCACCAAGCGGACCGCCACGTATTTACCTCAAGTTGCTACTGAACAAGGTGACAATAATATGCCAAATAAATACTTCACACACATATATTTCTAGTTTTAAGTGTGATAAAGTTACAGGTGATCTCATAAAGGCAACAAAACTGGTCACTCTTCACGTTGGAATGATAGGTTGCTCAAACTCAAACATACCAGAGGGAGACTTTGTACAAAAGTCGATTACTTGGGTACCTCTGTCCCATTCGTGTTTCAACCGTGAAGCAGTTGTGTTTTTATGGCTGTGTTTCGATTTGAAGGGTGGGATATGGCGTGAATTTACAGGGTACAGAGGAATAACACCTGAGTCCTCAGGAATGGCAACACATGGGGTGTATCATGGGCGAAACAATATACTCTGTTATGTCCATGGTACTGCTCATGTACATGCTCAGGCGACGGTTACCACTTTCTATCAGGTGGGCCGTCAGCTTGTTTGCCATTCTAACTTGTATAAAAAAGAATAATTACAGGTGTTTACCACTCACTGTAAAATTTCTCTAGCTTTCTATTCTTAATTGATGATAATGGAATGGTAACCCCGCCTGCGCTAACGGTATACGCTGGTGAGGCACCAGTGAGGGATGATAGGTGAGGATGAAAATGCAGGTCAGTTAGCCCATTGTGACAAATTCAACAATAAATTAATCACGATAGTTTCCGGGGAAACCGCATGGAGGTCGTCCTGATAGTATCCTATTGCTAACAGTGGGGTTGTTAAACCCAATTACTAACAATCCCTTCTCCCCCCCTTCCCCTTAGTTTAGGTTGCCTAGCTCTCGTGTCATGAAAATAATGTATTAAATATAGTTGTACTGACATTTAGGTTGTATTTGTCAGGTTGGGACCAAATCCAAACAATCGACTCGCTACTCAGAAAGGGCGGGTACAAGGCGGTGATCACCGCGGAGCTGCGCAGGAGCATCAAGCTGACCCGCTACCAGTCGGAGGAGATCTCCGCGTCGTACAACGAGTACATCAGCCAGCGCTGCTAGCACCCCGCGCGGCGCCACCTCGCCCGGCCGCGGCTAGTGTACGAACCGATACCATATACTTGTAGGAACGCGCATCGCACGGACAGCGCGCGGAGTGCTTATAAATACTGTGCTAGTTGTAACTTAGCTACTAAGCGTACACATACTGCCCGGGCCGATTGTACGGGTGGGCAGCGTACACGCGCGGCCAGCCACGCCACCACGGTGAAACGTCAAAGTTATGCTCAAAGTGACTCCTCGACCGCGCCCGACGACGACAGATCGTGTCTCATTAAAATCATATAACGGCCCTTCCACACGTCCGTTACTCACGGTCCGTTATTAATGACGGATCGTCAGTAACGGATAAACGTTCACGTGCAAAACCGAATCGTGATTTAATACGATCCGTCAAGTCCATCATTCATGGATAATAGAGACAAATAGACGTTAAGGAAACAATACAGATATATCTGTCACGCCTGTCTCCCATTAGGGTAGGCAGAAACAATGGAACGCCAAATGCTTCGATTCAAACGAACCTCCTTCGCTTCTTCCACATTCATCAATCTTTTCATACACGCTCGCCGGTTACGGGTACTTTTAATTTGGCCCTTCTTTACCGTGTCACCTATTTGGTCGACATACGTCCTTAATACATGATGCTCAGAAATCTCATCTCTACGGCGTCCATTCGGAAACCATAATCAGAAAGTTAAATCAAATCGTGACGTTTTATCGAGACGGATCGTTGTCGATGACATGTAAATAGAATAAATAAAAATAACGATACGTTATAGGTGTTATAACAAATTCTCTAATCGTATAACTCACGATTCGTTATGTGAACGAAGCCACCACTGCGGGGGCGCATCCACTGCCAATTACATTCCTTCGAGGAGATGACTACGGTGCCATCGAAATAACGAAACACGAAAACTTATGAATACATAATAGTGTTATGTCATGTATACAGAGTGATCTGATATTTTTAATAAACATTTAATTTCGTGTTCAACATTCAATTATGTAGCTGAAATCGAGTTTCGAGCGTTCGACAGTGTACTTTGAACAAAATTTTGATTTTGCCTTTGTATTTAAGTTTGCGTATGACACATTGGGTATGTCCCAGGCCAGCGATACCTTTCATGTAAAAATATCAAGTGGCATTTTGGTACCTAGCTGTTGAACTCGCTGTGAAGTACAGACACGTACTTTCTGAGGGTTGAAACGTTCAAACATGGTCGGACGTCTCGAGGGAGCACTAAAACTGTAATAATGGGCAGCCATTTGCTTAATGGAAAATGACTTGTATACCCAAATAAGAAGGGTACATATTTCTTTATTTGATTTATAATTATTTACAATTTTTGTACTTAATTTATCAAAATTGACACGCGGTGCCATTGTCTTTGGTCGATCGCACGTATTTACTTTACTTGCTTCCTATGTGAGGCATGGTTATGCCCATAATTGCATCCATGGGACTTACTATCATAACTAACATTTTTTTCTAAAGAAATTGGTTTCTTAATAAACGGTATCCTCTTCAAGCCTATATCAAGAGCTAGGTACCTCGAAATGTGGATTTAGACTTTTTATGACTATTCGAGTGAATGCTCGTTCTTCCGTTGGTCTTCGGAATTTATTTAGTGTTAACATACTAAGAGCATTCTTTCTGACACTGCGGTGCATTCACAGACAAATTTATACTTGGTTTATCTCTTGTTCTTTTAGTCTAAATCCACAATAATATAACGTTTTTGGTGATTCGTGAGATAGTCATAAACAATATTTGCAATTCATGTCTCTAAGAAAATCCACAAATTTAACCCGACAAAAGGGGGGCGTTTGAAAAAAAGACCTTTATTTGAATCATTATAGAATTTATTTTCTGTTAACCCGTCGATTTTAATAAACACCTCACGCTGAGAGCGTATTATTGACACAGTTTCATCGGCGGATTATCTGAAATGAACTGTATTATGATTCGTTTAAAGCTGATTTTTTAACTCACCTGTTTATTATTGTTATGTAAGATTTCAGAATGTTTAGATGAAACTTGTTGCTAAATTCCTATTATTTTCTTTTTTTTTTTTTTATTGCATTTTGTGGTTTCTCATGAAAATTGTCAATTATATGAATTACAAATATGAATTGTTTACGAATCACTAAGTCGCCATTTTAGACCCTTCATTATGTACGTATGTAGCCCCGTTTTTCTATATTATTATTTCGCACACTGCTTGGTAAAGCGAAGGATTGCCTATGCTTCCATAAAACAAGCAATATACTTAGCATCATTGCTATTTATGTATCTATACTTGGCTCTAACTTAAAACTCTTTTCAATTTAATTCACTGTATCTCCAGGAAGTACAAGTGTTTATCTAAAGCTTGTTCAAAAAGTACCTAGTAAAAACAGCGTGTTTTCATTTATTAGTTTTCAATACCATGACAAATAGTCAAATGGTCTTATACTATGTATAGATATATGCTAAATATTGCTTGTCACAAATAATCATAATTTGCATATTATAAATTGCAACCCTATAATAATTAGGGTGCTTTGAACGCATCAATATTTTATAAGAATGTAAAGATCGTATTATTTTTTTTTTTTGCATAATGTCGGTTTACTGATTGAAAGAGAAAAATTCTAAAAAAAGAATATAAGGTCTAAATGAAACAAAAAAAAAAAAATTATATAATAATGTAAGGGTTCATTTGTTGTAGTTTTAAGGCATAGTTTACGTAATTTGTAAAAATTATCGTTATGTGATTCTAATTGAACGGTTAATGAGGATATTTGTTATGGAATTGCCTTCGTTAGCAGCTTTCCTTTACAAAATGAATAATAACGAGCGAGCAGTGATGAATTTTGTTCCACACACCAAGTTCAAGGTTAAGGTCAGCTGTGCAAACATTTTTTTTGATGGGTGAAAATGGTATGGTAGCCCCGCCTGCGCTGACGGGATTCGCTGGCGGAGCACCAGTGAAGGGCGATAGATGAGAATGAAAACAGGCCAGTTAGCCCATCATGATGAATTCATCAGGAATTAACCATGACAGTTTCCAGGGGAAACCGCGAGCAGGTCGACCTGGTTGGGTATATTGCTAGCAATGGGATTCTCAGTCTCCATTACTAACAATCCCTTTCCCCCCTGTGCAAACATATTAGGGAACAAAATTAATATTGAATGACGTAAGAGATAGAGTCCAGCTCGATCTAAAGTAAGCTTATCAACTAAAAGTTGGTAACGATATCTTTGGTAATTCCAATGTTGAATTAGCCCGTTTGTTTCAATGGACAAATGTCGGTACAGTCGGCATAATATTCTAGGCTGCATTTGTTTATCTGACATGATATTTCGTTCTTTTTTCGCTGTGTTTTATACATTTAACTGTCCCTGTTTTTCTTTTATATATTTCCTAGCTCATGTGTTAATTAAAAAATCTAAAATCAAACCCATTCTCATATATGATCACCTGTCTTACTAAACATAACTGTCTTTCAGTGTCTACATTTGTAGATTGGATTTCCAGATCTCTCGAGCCTTATTTGGTTTTTATTGCAAATTAATACAATTAATTAACCTTATTTAAAAGTGATAAATCTAAAAAAAATCACATAAATCGCATTTCACTACAGCCATCTTATAAATATCTGGAGATATCTTGTATTATAGTGAAGTGATAGCTTTAAAATTCTAGTTCACCCATTTCTTTTATAACGTACAATCGCAGATATTGGGGACACTGGACGTTTGTAAAACCAACTTTAAATTCCAATACATGGTGTTACCAATTCTGCGGGTTTCTCGCCCCTATGAGTTGGGAATAGTACTTTAAATAATGAAATATGATTCTATTATTATGTGGCCATTTTAAACACCCTAATAAAATACCTTCTGTTAAATCATTTTAATAATACACTGCAAGGAAAATTATTATCGGTCTGTGGACATTTGGAGCTTCTGTAGACTGCGTGTATAATATAGAAGGTATTGTAGACAGCTAGACAAACTTAAATATCATAGATATGTTGTATAAAGGAATTGTTGTGTATAGTTGTATCGAAAATTGTATATTGAATGGCATATAGTAATGCAGTGCAGACGTTATGACGTGTACAGCGAGGAAATCTAACAAAACAAGTAACCGAAACACGCTAATCACTAACACTTGTTACTTGACATGGACTAAGGCTACGCCACTCACAGTCTACGATTAATTGGCTAATAATTATGCTATTTGTTTTGTAAGGTTTTATCAATTCGAATACTGCTTTAGAGCTGTAGTGTTGGAGACACTTGTCAGTTGATATAAAATATATTTGAGATTTATTGGAACTTTGCGCAATTATTAAGTGTATATAAAATTTCTTGTATTTTTTTTTTATACAACTTAGAATGGCAAACAAGCTGACGGCCCACCTGATGGACAGTGGTAGCTGTCGACTATAGACATGAGCGTGTACCATGGCCATAACAGAGTATACTGTTTCGCCCATGATACCCCCCATGCGTTGCCATTCCTGAGGACTCAGGTGTTATTCCTCTGTACCCAGTAAATTCACTGCCATATCCCACCCTTCAAACCGAAACAGAGCCATGCAAACACAACTGCTTCACGGTTGAAGCAGGAATGGGACAGAGGTACCCAAGCAATCGACTTTTGTATAAAGTCACCCTCTGATGTTATATTACAAATATAGAGTAATAATGCTTGACAGATAGTAGCGGTAACTCGCAAGTAAATGCTACACCACAATATTACAGACAGCTGTTTTTAAATTGTCAATATTTGAATTTGAGACCACATGTCCATGGTACTGCTCATGTCTATAGGCGGCGGTTAACACTTTCCATCAGGTGGGCCGTCAGCTTGTTTGCCATTCTAAGTCGTATAAAAAAAAACCTCATTTTAATACTGCCTTATACAGGAGCGTATGGATAAGTTTAAATCAATTACAGTTGATTTTGCAATGTTTCAATATCTCCCAAATACTTACCTGTAGTGGCTATTAACCCTTAAGCTATAATACATATTAATAATGTACTAATGTACGAAACTAGCCAATGTAAAATAGAAACCGTCTCTGTATATCTGATGTTACGTGTAAATAAAGGCGTATATTTACAAGGGTTTACAGTATGCGTTCGATTTGGGAACTTAGGTGATCTGTATCTCAGACATGTTTTAAATGTACCAGATATTGCCTGTCAATGTTTGAACTAACTTTTAGCTAATCTCAGCATTGCTCGACTGGAGCTCTAGGGAGCAATAGGCAATAGGCAAATCCTTAGATCGGTCCCTATAAAAAAATGTAGTCGAAAGAGTGAAATATTTCCAAGCCATTTCCCCACACAGTTTCAGTGTATTTTTGCACTTATAACATGTCTGGGATGAATAAGAGGGTATAAAGTTATTTTGGCAATAGGCACTTGTATGTAGAAATTTCGAATTAATAATATCGTTGTTGAAATAGCAAAAAAAGAGCAGCGCAAACTGGATACGCATGGATGGCGTCGTATCTCTTTCATTTTAACGATGGGTATGCTTGGGTTTGTTCCTTGAATCTGTTCAACTTTGTCCATTTTATTCTATTGATGACAGTTCATATTATGTTTTAGAGACTTGCTTTTTAGTTATGTAATTGTTTTTAGTAATTAACTAATCGAACAATAATAATCATAATTTTTTTTTCTTATGACATGTCATGGAGTAAATAATAAAATGGATAAGGTATCTATGTCTGTGTTATTATGACCCCCCATTGGAAAACATGGACTTTTGTGTGATACCTTTTTTTTTTTTTAATTCTTACTTGAAGGATTCTACTTCTATTGATATAATAAGTAATGTAAAAAAAAGGAACAACAATAAATAATGGAGTAGTAATGAAATAGTACTTTTTTGTTAATGAATATGTCGAACGGAATGTTTCGAAGTGTTCTCTATGACATGGTCGACTATGTCGTGCTTATGTTACACGCGGTAACTTTAATTGTATGCGGTGCTTTGTTGGGAGTTTAATTTAGTTTGAAGTCAATGTTTTCTCGTGTTATTTTTTAGATTAAAATTGTGATTTTCTTTTGATGTGACCAAAAATCCTGACTACTTAAAAATTGTTTCAATGTGGATTTCAAAATGCCACAGGGGCGGGCGAGTCGTACACGCACTTATATTATGAGCATAGTTTTTTATGTCAATAAAAAATTACTAAATTAGTAGATTTTTGATGGCCCAGATAATTTCAGATTAAAAATCTTTGATTTAATTAAATACGCGAACATCTCGTTAAACATATCGTCATAAGAAAAAATCTTTTATATAGTAATCTTTACTTTTTATCACATTTCGATCTCTACCGAGAAGAAAATTGAGAAGTGCCCTTTATTAACAACAAAACAAAGATATCAACTAACACCTGAGTCCTCAGGAATGGTAACGCATGAAGGGTTTTATGGGCGAAACATGGGCGTCTATAGGTGACGGTTACCATTTTACATCAGGTGGGCCGTCAGCTTGTTTGCCATTCTAAGTTGTATAAAAAAAAAAAAACTAAGCACGTCTGTTTTCTCATCTTCACTCTGCCTCGGTTTCCGACAGTCGCGGGTTCGATTCCCGCACGATACAAACATTTATGAGTATGTCTGTTTGAATTGTTCTGAGCCTATTCTGTGTATTATGTATACATTCACCCCAAAAACTGTACCCACAATAAAATTTCTGTTTAGTTTAGAACGAGATTGCGTTATGCGACCTTAAACCAATAGCACTAGATCATTTGATAGCTATTTGTGTAGTCGCAAGTGGTTCCTAATTAAATTTATTGTTGTTGGAATATCCATTTCTGATTTATCTGTGCAATGTTAACTTTTACTTAAATCTTGGCAGAAATTAACAACAATTGTTGCAATATATTTAGTAGACAACTGTATCGCAACATTATTTAATTTTTTGTTACTGGCAACATCGTGCGTTTCTACCAAATGGATATTTAATGCTTTTAGATTGCATAAAACATTATAAATAACCAAAATACTCTCATTAAATACTCTAATTAAATAACTCCTAGAGTAATAAATTAACAGCTTACCTGATCGAAAGTGATAACTGTCGCCTATAGACATGACTAGCGCTACCCACGCGGACAGAATACTACGATAGTAACACTTTATCCGTTAACATTCCTAAGAAATAATAAATCGTGTTAATTAAGTTTTAATTTATATTAAGCATCTTGACGTCAGGCACGCGGCCAGTCGTAAAATTATCAGCCAAATATTTTTGTAATATGATTAAAAAATATATTACGTCGACCCCATATAATAAATGGGATAAGGGTAGGAAGATGATTGGGCATCTTGCGTTAAAATCACTACCACGTGTGTGCACGAGTTAATCCCGCCCCTCGTATTGTATGCTCTAAACTATGTGAATAGCGGATGTGAAATTACTTTTAATGTGATATTTTAACGAATTTAGAAATTGGTCCTGTCCAATCTCCATTCAAAGTCTCGTAGGTGACAGCTTTAGGCGAGTTTTCCTCATAGTCGGCATGAACATACACGCATATATATGTACTATCTATAAAAGAGAAACTATGTGCTTTTACAAAAGGACTTCACGAATTAGGGCTCCTTCACACGACACGGTAACCCGGCAAGATACGCGTCGCGTATCGTGTGAAAGAACCCTTATGGATTATCCAGAACTCCTACGCCTGCTCAGTTTGCGTGATACCTACATAAACGTTGCTGTTACTTTACGTAAAAAATATAATATTACATTAAGTTTACGTGTTCGACTCTCAGTCAATATGTTCAGTTTGCAATAATTTATCTAATTTAAGAGAGCGCAACCAATAAAAAAAGTATGACTTATTTTTATTGGATGTTATCATAGTTTCGGAAACTAGATACCATAGATGTATGGTTAATCTTCCTTTGTTTGGGTTTAATAATTAAAAAAAACTTGTAAATAAATTAAGTACTAACCATTTCCTATATTGAGCCTAATAAATGCTACCGCAATATCCATTTTAGTTTGTTTCTACACGAGAGCTGGTAGGATATTTAGGTGGATTACAAAGTTATGTTTCTAAATTACCAACATTAAATTAATCACATCGTATAAAGGAGGGCTATGTATTTTTTTTATCTCGCTCCTATTTCCTGTGTACTTGTAGAATACTCAAAATTTATTTCGCATCAACTTTTTTTTTTATTTAAAAGCATCTATCGACATTCAGAGGCCAGAGTTGTTTTTTTATAATCTTAAAACGAACATTTTATTTGCGAGGAAATTTATAATTATTTAATAGCAAACGGCTCTGACTCCCATTTTTTTTTTTGCATTCCCGCGATACTGTTCATGCATGTTCTTTTATGAAAAAGTTTTGGATGTATTTCCTTCAGCATCGTGTAGAAACATTAAAGGTTTTATATTACCCAAGCGACCATACCGTACAGGTTCTCTTGTTTTTGCAACATGGAAATCTAACAAACGAAATAATCACAAAAATTGGCTAAAATAATAATAATAAATACATATTGGCCAATTATTGTGACCCCAAATTATTATAATCATGTTTGGTCTGCTAAAAACATGTTTTGTCCTTTGATAGATTTCCCTACTGCAAGTATGTATTAAAGAAAAATACAAAATTTAAGTTTGGAACAATACAACATGTTATGGAGTGAGCAGGGGCAGTTTGCATGTGTTCAAACATAGGAAGTGTACTTTTCTGATGATAACAGTTGTGTGCATATAGTTTGTTGTCCGTTTTTGTAATTCGTAAATATTATAACTAATATAGGTTAATTGAACGATGTATAGTTTTATTTTTTTTCTCTTCCTATTTATGGTAAATGGCAAAAATGTATTTTGTCTACATATCCCTATGTCGTGTCCTACTAGTCATCTCTTATATAATTATATTCTATGGAACAAGCTGGTGAACAAAGCAATGCCCACTCGTTTGATTCATCTATTCACTCTGAAGGAGCTGCCATGGAGATCGTGATAAAATTGCTCTAACCTTACAGTACAGGGGGAAGGAGGGATTGTTAGCAATGGAGTTTGACAGCCCCATTGCTAGCAATATGCCCTATTAGGTCAACCTCCACGTGGTTCCCCATGGAAACCATCGTGAACAATTCTCGGTGAATTCGTCACGATGGGCTAACTGACCTGTTTCATCCTCACCTATCATTCTTCACTGGTGCCCCGCCGGTGTATGCCGATGGCGCGGGTGGGATTACCATTCTATTATCACCCATCAAAAAAAAACCTTACAGTAGGTATATACAATATATACAAGTAATATTTAAAGATTTACCATGTGGTGCCGGCATAGAATAGAAAAACCTCTTCCTTTCCCGTGGGTGTAGTAAGAGGCCACTAAGGGAGGTCGAGGGATGGACAGCATCCCTCTTAAAACATATCTAAAGCCTAACTGCGATTTTCAACTCATCTACCAAGCGTGGCAACTACTGGCAAAGCCCCCCCCCCCCCCCCCCCTAAGGGGAGGCTTATGTTCAGCAGTGGACTGTTAAAGGCTGATATGATGATGGTGAATATTTAGAGATACAGATTTCAAATTTTAATAATAATATAGTTCAATAGAACTCAATGAAAATATGAACAAACAAATAATCAATCCAACCACAAGATAAGCTACTGATGCCCAATAGTAATACATAATAAAAATTTTATTAATTAATTGAAGCATTTAAAGATTTTATTTTTTATACAACTTAGAATGGCAAACAAGCTGACGGCCCACCTGATGGAAAGTGGTAACCGTCGCCTATATACATGAACAGTACCACGGACATAACAGAGTATACTCTTTTGCCCAAGATACCCCCCCATTGCGTTGCCATTCCTGAGGACTCAGGTGTTATTCCTCTGTACCCTGTAAATTCACGCCATATCCCACCCTTCAAACCAAAACACAGCCATGCAAACACAACTGCTTTACGGTAGAAACACGAATTGGACAGAGGTACCCAAGCAATTGACTTCTGTACAGTCTCCCTCTGGAGAGTGTTCCTATAAAGAAAATTGCAACAAAATTTAGTTATATTTTCATTAAACTCCATTGAAAGTAATTATGGATTAATAATAAAATTAAAGAACTAAATAATAAATTACCTACGTGTATATTTATAACACTATATACATTTCCGTCTACAATAACAAAAACTATAACACAATCATTTAATTCACGTCTTCTGCATTGTCAAAATCCTTTTCAATCTCAGTCAACTTTCTTCTAAAAGTGAAATTGTTTCGTATTTCAAGGTAGGTAATGAACGATGACGCCACTAATTGGAACACGGTCAAAGTAACTAAAGTATTGTGGAATCTTTTTGTGATATTTCTTAAAAACTGGAACACCACCTTTGGTCCATCTGTTAGATCAGGTATTCTGAATGTACTGTACCTATTGGCAAACTGAAAAGAAGATAAAAAACATATGTAGATCATAATTGTAAGAAAAAAATTGAAAGGTGTCAGTTTGAATCTGTAACTGATTTGCTATTAGTTAGGTTCTCAGCTCTTATCAATTGAGTTACCAGTTCATATTGCATTAAATATATCTACATTTACACTAATATTATAAAGAGGAAAGGCTTGTATTTTTATGTGTATGTTTGTAATGAATAAACACAAAACTACTTTGCCGTTTTCAAAAATTCTTTCACCATTAAAAAGCTACATTCACCCTGAGTAACGTAGGTTATATTTATTGCTAGAAAAGATTAGGGATCCTTGCTAAAACTTTAGTAACATAACTCGAGATGTAAAAAAATACTATAAAATATCTTTCGCCGCGTGCACTGCGGAAGCTATTGGTGATAGAACAAAAGTATGTTCTACAATATTGAAGAAAACATCAACAACTACAAAAAAACTTCGCGATACTATATGTCCAACTATTATCGGTATGTCACAATAACACTGTTTAAAATGTTGTAAAAACGTCCACCCGTGCGAAGCCGGGACGGGCCGCTAGTCATTTCATATATTAGTGATAGTTAAACTACAGCACAGATAACACAGTTCAAATTTTATGAGAATGTGAAGAATGAAGTGTAAAGCACATTGGTTACATATTGCAGAAATTAGGTCTCAGGTTTTGGTAACATTTTGGTATGTCAACAACAAAACATACTTTCAAAAGGAGAAAGGTACTCAATTTAATTGTAATTTTTTAGCAGTGAGTCTCAACCTTTTTTTTTTTGTTGCGGCACATATTCAACGATTTCAAAATTTGGCGGCACACAAAGCAAAAGATAAAAATTATTTACTTACTACACACACACACACACTGCGTAAATAGTTTGTGACAAAAATTTTAAATATTTGCAAAATTTGGCGGCACACTTTTAAAATTTGGCGGCACACAAATGTGCCGCGGCACAGTGTTTGAGAATCACTGTTTTTTAGTGTTTGTTACCTCATAACTTTGTCAGTTCTAAACTGATTTGGTAAATTCTTTTTTATCTGAAAATATATACTTACAGAACAGTCTCACAGCAATATTATCGAAATCTGTTCAATAGCTTATTGTTTAATTTAAAATAACTGCTTTTGTCACAATTGGTCTGCTTTTTTTCTTTGTGGAATACACTCTTTATTTAATATTTTCATTTTAAGATAGAATGATAAACAAAGAGATGATTCACCTAATGAAAAGTGGTAATTTCACAATAGTTTAATTTACATTTTTTACTCGGTGAAATTAATAAGTTTCTATAGAGAGCATGCAAGTTGCACAATATCTAATCTGCTATCCTAATTGTACATAATAAAAATTTAAAATTGTTATGTATATTATAATTACCATCAATGCTGCCGTAGGACCAAGTACCATGGGATATGCTATGCCGAAGCTTAACTGTATAGCTGCAGATCTGACTTCATAGCAAATAGGGCACATATCTCTCTTCATCAGTAACATGTCTGATGTTATCAACTGCAATTGAATAGAATATTTATATAGTATTTGCTAGCTATGGCTTTATTTTTGGGGAATTTTATTACCATTATTAATGGTAATAATAAAAAAAGTACCAGAGGGAGACTTTGTACAAAAGTCAATTGCTTGGGTACCTCTCACGCACAACGGCCCAAATGGGAGGCTAAGTGCGGAAAACAGAGTCTTTCTTTCTTTGGGTACCTCTGTCCCATTCGTGTTTCTACTGTGAAGCAGTTGTGTTTGCATGGCTGTGTTTCGGTTTGAAGGGTGGAATATGGCGTGAATTTACTGGGTATAGAGGAATTACACCTGAGTTCTCAGGAATGGCAACGCATGGGGGGTATCATGGGCGAAACAGTATACTCTGTTATGTCCATGGTACTGCTCATATCTATAGGCGACGGTTACCACTTTGCATCAGGTGGGCCATTAGCTTGTTCGCCATTCTAAGTTGTATAAAATAAAAAAATAAAATTAAAAAAAAAGTTAATTATCATTTCAGCCATTAACTGTCCACTGCTGAACACAAGCCTTCCCAATAAGGAGTTTTGCCAGTAGATGCCACACTTGGGTGATGGGTTGGCAGGCATAGTTTGACTTTTAGAGATGTTTTAAGAGATGCTGCTGCCTGTCCCTCTACCATTAAGTTCCCTTAGTTGCCTCTTACAATACCCATGTGAAAAGAAGGGTCGGTCCCATAGAAATGCTAGAACCAGTCAGCAACTGTAATTTCATATTTTATATAAAACAATGTTAAAAAAGTATTTTAAAATTGATAAGTAGCATTTGCTATAAATATTGTGTGGAAGTATAATAATATAACTGAGCCAATCTCTACATTTAAGAAAAAAAAAGATATATTTTTTTATTGGCTCCTATGTTGAAGAAAAGGCTGGTGTATAATCATAATATGTATATTGTTATAATCTGAAAAAATAACACATTTCGAAAATCTTACATGTCTGTGAAATAATGTAGTCATGAGGCCCGGCATCAAAGTGATAGGTATAACTGACGAGTAAAATCCATATGTACCAAGTTTCAATTTGTTCCTGTAATGTCTGTTAATTAGTATTCCGGCGAACGCATTAACCCCTCCAAGAACACTCGGCCCATAACGCAATGCCCATCTGTAAATTAGAGATGTCATAAAAATATATAAATGAGTAGGTTTAACTTAATAAAAATAATGGCATAACCTCAATTATTTTATTTGATGCATTTTCTTTATTACTTACACATCTGATATAGAATTCCATTTATCAACAAGGTCCCAAATATATGTAGTGGCTTCCACTTCATCTAGAACGACAGCATCTTCAGGAATTTCTTTAGATTTCATTAACGCCATATCTTTCAATATAAAATACTAAATTGTCTTCAAATTATTACTGGATATCGAAATAAATACATTAGTTTATTTCAGGTAAATAAAATATTTAATTACTGCTGTTTACTACATTAATAATTCTAGTATAAACAGAATTCAAAATTAATAAGAATTTAATACATAATATATTTGTAAAAGTCGGCTACTTCGGCTAGTACTAACTTGACACCAAAGGTTGACACTAGTGATGCCGACTTTACTAATCTGTCCACATATTATTTTACTGAGCAATTTGATCGAATTAATTGCTCAATCAAGTAATTAGTGTAATTAGTAGTCTAATTATTTTCAAATCATTAAACTACTAAAGTCTGTACTTTACTGTACGCGTCTACTAAGTAATTGTTCATGTACGAGTCGGTACGAACATTATCGAGTCGGCGCGATCGTATGGTATGTCTTTTTAGTACGTTGACAATTTAGTACATTTAATATTATTATCAAAGTAAATTTGTAATAATTAAATGGTATACATATTTTAAATGAAAATTAGTATATTATTAATTCATTCGTTGTCGAATTACTAATTAGTAAATTATGGAATGGTATATTATTAATTTCGTTGTCTAATTATAAAATTGGTAATTACTAATTTAATTTACTAATTCAAATAATAAAATCAATAGGATTCGTGCACCGCTGATTAACCCCTTAGATTTACACAAAACAAAACAAAACGCTGCTCCATGGAATGGAATTCGTTAAAGGATCCTTGGTCTAATTATTAGATTTGCTCTGTGTCTCAGTCTAAGTTTGACTACCTAGTCTTAACAAGGTGTTCAAATATTAAAAAGGGTACCAAATGAAGACAGACGTCAGTGAAGATGCTAAAATATAATTATTTATTGTTGTAACGCGAGCCCCTAAAACCGCCACCGCGCAACGGCCCCAAGTAATTCCCCTTTCCGATGGTCCTCCCCGCGCGCGTCGCCCTCCCGTGCATTATTGTTAGTAGAGTTGTTAAAAGGTTCGAGTTTCCCGAGTCTTCGACTCATTGAAGGCTCGAGTCTCCTATGAAGGCTCGAGCTTCAGCCTTGAGCCATATTGGGAAGGCTCGAGCCCAGACTCGAGCCCTAGTCCCAAGGCTCGAGTTGCGACTCGAGCTCTGTTTTAAAAACTCACTACACAACATTTTGCTCCAAAATAAATCTAATAAATATGTTTTTCTCAAACATGCTTGGAAATGTGAGCATTATTTTGACAATCTTCGAGATAAATCAAAATTACCGTACAGGCCAGATATATGCGGGCAGCGGCCGGCAAAAGTTGTATGAAAATCCATATCTGTCGTGTTTTGCGGCCAGATAAGTTACTATGTAAACTCATATCTGTCCTGTAATTTAAAAATGAAATGTTTTACTTCGAAACATGGCTACCAAGGAGGTAACTAATACAAGGTTTTATTTAAATTTCGAACTGGCTTGCAAATAGAAAGCTGTTTATTGGAAAAAAAACCAAGGGAACATTATGGCGCGTGAAAAATTATTATTGTTCGTTATTCGTCATTGAATTTAAAAAGTAAAATTGTGTTTTTGATTTCCGCGCATTGTTTGAGAAAAGTACTATACAAGCCTTGGTCACAACTAGGCATTGATGGACTCACGTATGTGTGCCACGGTTACACCTCGGCCCACATTTGTACGTTCGTCCATCAATGCCTTAGTTGCTGGCCGCTGCAGTAATGTACTATTATTAATTTCATACATACATACATACATATCTGTCACGCCTGTCTCCCATTAGGGTAGGCAGAAACAATGGAACGCCAAATGCTTCGATTTAATTATTAATTTCACTGCTGAATAACATATATTTATTACAATTTTGTACCTCATCCTACAGAGGAAACTAAACGCGCCGATCCAGTGTTGTCGCTAGTTTTTAGAACTACCCACATTACTATTAATATTATTGTAATAATTACTTGTATACGCCATTCATGTAGCGCAGTTTGCCTGGTTTAAATAAAAATAAATTTTATTATAGTTTTTACTGGTTAAAGTTTGTTAGATTTACAAAATGATTGAGGAAGATAATGTAACATCGGAACACATTGAGTTTGATACTACTGATACTTCGCTTACAGAAAATGAAGCTTCAGCATCTTCTATAGTGTCGAAAAAGCCGCGTATTTGTACTACATAGATATGACTCCATAGATATGACTACATATATATGACTTCATAGATATGACTTCATATGTATGACTTCATAGATATGACTACATAGATATGACTACATATATATGACTTCATAGATATGACTTCATATGTATGACTTCATAGATATGACTCCATAGATATGACTTCATAGATATGACTACATACATATGACATGAAATGAAATATAATGAAATGAAATATTTATTTGCTTTAAACAGACATTTGACATTATAAGGGCCATGTGACAAAACTTTTTGGCATCTGTTTAATTGCCTTAAAATTGTAGGCATGCAAATCTAATTTATTCCTTAAATAAGGATACAAATTTAATTTATACTACATTATTATGATCATAGAATAATAAAAAAAAAAGAAAAAAAAAAGAAAACAATGCTCAAACAATTATCAAGTCAAATCAATAAATGTAAGTACATATTCAATATCGTCAAATAAAATTAACAATTACATTATTATTATTAAATAAATACAAATTACAATAGCAAATTTATGTCAAGTCTTAAGGATTTATATTATTAATAATTATGTTAACTATTTTTGGGATGTGTAGGCATAATATTCTCCCATACTGTAAAAGACCTTATCCAGAAGCCATAGATGAAGCCGTTTCTTAAATATTTTCAAGGGAAGGTCTAAAAGATCTGAAGGAAGTTTATTATATATTTTTTGGGCCATAAATGAAACATTCTTTTGGTACAAGATCAAATTACTTTTTGGTATCACAAGTTTATTTTTTCTGTGTGATCTAATGCCTTCTTTGAGTTGTCCGCATGTATTAAATAATTCAGGGTGTTGCTTAATAAAAGTACATATAGCAAATATATACATGCAAGTCAGGGGAAGGATTCCTAATTTTTTAAATAATGGCCTACAAGATTCCCGGCACCCCACATTGCTAATAGCCCTTATACATTTTTTTTGCGCTTTGAGGATTCTTTCTATATCAGGCGAATTCCCCCAAATAATCAAACCATAACTAAGTGCCGATGAAACGAATCCATGATATGCACTAAGAGCAGTCTGTATGGTTGCAATCTGACGCAATTTATACAATGCAAATACAAATTTATTAATTTTTTTACAAACATTATCAACGTGTTTCTTCCAATTTAAGTGTTTATCTAACGTGATACCTAAAAAAGTAGTGGAATCCACTACTTCTATATTATTATTTTTGTAATTTATATTTAGGTCAAGGCTGGGGCTTGAATAAGTTTTGAAATGAATTATTTTTGTTTTAAGTAAATTAATTTTTAAATTATTTTTTGTTAACCATGTTATTATTTTATTTAATATATCCTTAATGTCATTTTTGAAAGTGTCCAAGTCTTTACATTTACATAGCAATGTACAGTCATCTGCAAATAAAATACATTTTTGGTCAACTGAATCTGGAAGATCATTTATATATAGAAGAAATAGTAACGGGCCCAGTATACTACCTTGAGGTACCCCGGTTTCATTAATTTTCAATTGGGAACGTGTTACTACTCTTTCATTATTGATTGTATTTGTCAATTCTATGCATTGTCTTCTATTATGCAAATAACTTTTAAACCACTCAAGTGATATTCCTCTGATTCCTAAATTTTCTAATTTTAATATTAGTAAGTCATGTTTTACTAGATCGAACGCTTTTGACATATCAAGAAATATTGCTACTGTAGGTATTTTGTTATTGATACCTTTACAGATATCTTTAACTAAATTGTAGCATGCCAGTGTCGTGGATTTGCCCTCTTGAAATCCAAATTGATCGTCTTTAATGATATTATGTTTTTTAATGAAATTATTCAGTCTTATAGCCATAACCTTTTCAAAAACCATTGCGATCACTGAAATGAGAGCAATTGGTCTATAGTTTGTAATATCGATATCGTCTCCCTTTTTATAAATAGGTTTTATTATCGAAATTTTTAATCTATCAGGGAATACGCCTTTTTCCATAGACAAGTTTATAATATAAGTCAATGGGATAGCCAGCTGGTGAGAACATAATTTAAGTATTTTAGACTTAATATTATCGTATCCAGTTGAATTTGTATTATTTAGAGCTAAGATTATGCGACTAATTTCATCTATTGTCACTGGCATTAAAAATATGCTATTGAGTGTATTTGACTTATTTAATTTAAAGTCGCAATGATTTTTGTTAAAGTGATTATTATTATTTTTTGTTATGTCAATAAAATAATTATTAAAAGTGTTAGCAATGTCATTCAAATTATTTATAATTTTACCATTATATTTAATTTTATGAATGTCATGCTTCTGTGATAGTGTGTCAATATTTTTTCGTATAATTGTCCAGGAAGCTTTACATTTGTTTTTTGATTGATTTAGATACCTATTATTATTAATTCTTTGCGCTTGATTTATACATTTTTGTAATATTTTAGTGTATGGTTGATATATTTGTTTATTGTTTCTTTTGTTAGATTGTTTTGATTTTATGTATTGATAGTAAAGTCTACGCTTTTTGTAACAACTTTTCCTTAAATCCACGGTGACAGTTTCTTTTTACTAGAGTTTTTTACTTTTATTATTGGGAAGCACAAATTATATAATAATGTAAAAATATCGTGGAATTCATTAAATGCATCATTGACCTCTTGTTTATCTAATATACTCCATAGATATGACATCATAGATATGACATCATAGATACGACTACATATATATGACTCCATAGATATGACTACATAGATATGACTCCATAGATATGACATCATAGATATGACTACATAGATATGACTACATACATATGACATCATAGATATGACTACATAGATATGACTACATACATATGACATCATAGATATGACTACATAGATTTGACTCCATAGATATGACTACATATATATGACTCCATAGATATGACATCATAGATATGACTACATATATATGACTCCATAGATAGATATGACATCATAGATATGACTACATACATATGACATCATAGATATGACATCATAGATATGGCATCATAGATATGACATCATAGATATGGCATCATAGATATGACATCATAGATATGACATCATAGATATGACATCATAGATATGACATCATAGATATGTCATCATAGATATGGCATCATAGATATGACATCATAGATATGGCATCATAGATATGACA